CTGTGAGCTGTGAGCCCATGTGTGGGCAGCAGCCAGCCGCCAGGCAGCCCGTTCACGGTGACTGGGAGGTCGCGCTGGGTTGGGTTTCCTGGAGGGTTTCCACCCTGGCCATGGGCCCCGGATGCCAGGGCCGTCTGTGAAGACGTCTGGAGGAGTTTCCTAGGGCTGCCAGAACAAAATAGCCCGGCCTGGGGCTTCAACAATATGGATTAATTTTCTCCCAGGTCTGAGGCTGCGAGTCCGAGGTCAAGCCACTGGCAGGCTTGTCTCTTCTGAGGTTTCTCTTTTTGGTTTGCAGGTAGACGCTGCTGGCTGTTTCCACACACGGTTTATTTGTTTTTTGAGACAGAGTCTCCTGCTGTCGCGCAGGCTGGAGTGCAGTGATGCAATCTCACCTCACTGCAACTTTTGTCTCCAGGGTCGAAGGATTCTCATGCCTCTGCCTCCCAAGAAGCTGGGATTACAGGTGTGTGTCACCAGACCCGGCTAATTTTTGTACTTGTAGCATAGACAGGGTTTCCCCACATTGGCCAGGCTGGTGTTGAACTCCTGAGCTCAAGCAATCCTCCCACCTGGGCCTCCCAAAGTCTGGAGTTACAGGCATGAGCCACAGGGCCTGGTCCCACACATAGTTTTTGTGCACACGCACCCCTGGTGTCTTTTTGTGTCCAAATTTCCTCTTCTTATAAAGGACACCAAATTAGTTTGGGGCGTACCCTAGTGACCTCAGTTTAGTGGAATCGCCTCTTTAAAGGCCGTATGTCCAAATACAGTCCTATTTTGAAGTCCTAGGGTTCAGATCTCTAAGATATGAATTATTCTGGGGGGAGAGGTGGGACACAATTGAGCCCTAGCAAGATCTTTCAGGCCTCCAGTCTGAGCTGAGCAGCGAGGCACCGTCCAAACTGCAAAGGGAGACTCTGGGGAGTTTCAAAAGTGGCGTCTTCCTGGCTGGGCAGTGGCTCATGCTTGTAATCCCAGAACTTTCGGAGGCTGAGGTGGGCCGATCACGAGGTCAAGAGATTGAGACCTCGTCTCTACTGAAAATACAGAAAAATTAGCCGGGCGTGGTGGGGCGCACCTGTAGTCCCAGCGACTCGGGAGGCTGAGGCAGGAGATTAGGACGAATTAGACACACGAGACCTCGCAAGAGCAACGCTACCTAGGGTCCCGGCCTGGCAACAAGTGAGACTCCCAATCTCAAAAAAAAAAAAAAAAAAAAAAAAAAACGGGGTGCGGATCCTCCTGTTGTTGGCCTTAGGCTGGAGGTGGAAGGAAGTGATCTTCTGGGTCCTCTTTTGCTGTTTTTCAGCATGCAGGAGAGAAACCGGTTGGCGCTGCCTTTGCCCATTTGGGAAAGCCATCTGGATTCATTTCCAGTGCTGTGTGTTTCTGGAGGCGATGCATACCCAGCCGAGGGCAAATTTAGGACCTGCTACTGTGACCACAGGCCAGCCACCTCCCATATCTCAGCCTGTTTTCACATCAACAAGATGGAGGGTGGATGAGATGATCTCAAGGGTCCCTGGCTGGCTCTAAACTCTCAGCTTTCTGTCCCTGAGATTCGTCCTGTTTCTAAGATCTCTGCCTGAATATCCCCCCTCAAGCAGGGTGAGTGTAAGCCAAGATAAAAGAGCCGGTTTCTGGGCTCGTTATCAGTACAGGTGGAGAAGGTGGCCCGTGTGACTGAGATGGGGCACCCACCCCAAAACGTCCCCTGCCGGCATCCCCCCTGGCATGGCTCTTCTTCCCTGACTCCTTGACCCCTAGAGGCCCTGGGCCTGGGCCACAGCAGGAGCTCACAGCTGTCTGTCGTCCAGAGTCATTCCACAGCTGGGCTCAGTCTGCTCTGGTGTGGGCAAAGCTGGCCACTGTCTCAGAAGGACTCGCAGGGTGTTCCAGAAGACAGGGAGGGCCCTGGGCAGACTGGGCCCTGCTTACTCCTCTCAGGACAGAGTCTGGGTAAGTTGGCCAGAAGAGCCATTGTCATCATTTGAGCTGGCCCGCAAAGACGAGAGCTCAAGAAGCAAAAGTGCAGATTGGTATAAATTGTCACAGTGTCCTGGAGGGGGCCTCTGGGGTCACTTGGTCAAATGCCCACAGCGTCTTCTGGGGAAACCAGGAGTTGAAGGCTGTGCTGCCTGTGGGCCTCCCACTCTGCTCTAGTCTCTTGAGGGGTGGGGTGGGGTGAGGAGGTTCCTTATCTGTGTCCTATCTGGAACCTCTTTCCTCCTGATCATCGGACTCTAGGCCCTGAGTTTAAAACACTAGTTTTCCCCTCCAGGCATAGGCTAATCAAACTCCTGCATTGATTTCTGCTCAGGATTTGCCTGCACAGGCCCTTCTTTAGTCTTTAAACTTATCCATGTCATTAATTTCATTTGTCTGTTCCCTGCTATGCGCACACTCAGTCACCCCAATTCCCCGTGTCTGCCCTGTGAGCAGGGCTATGCTTGCTCCAGAACCTGAGTCTGTGAGGGTGCGGGCGCCTCTAGACATCATTCTCGGTCTCGTCTCGTTTTTCCCCACTGGAATCTCTGGGCTCATCCACATGGCTGCCCACCCTCATTGACGATGCACGTCCTGGTCCCCCTACATCTGGGAGTTTCTTAGGGATGTCCCAGGGGGAAACTTGCTGGGTCCAGAAGCCACAACTTGTGCTCACTTTTTGGTCATCTGCCTCCCGCTGCCTCTCTCACATTTAGAACCTGCTGCCTGGCGGCTCCCCTCTTCCCTCACCCGTCCCCACCCCTTTCTCCTCCGTCTGGAGCGGCCTCCCCAGCCCTGCACCTAGTGTGGGTTTGGGGAAAGCCCTGCATCCTTCTGAGCTCAGGGCCTGCCATAGGCCAAAGCCTTGGTCCACCCGCGATGCCGCCCCCTGCTCCCTGCAGTTCTACGCTGGTGGGGCTGCGAGAGTGCGCTATCGTGGCCAGGGTGCTATCATTTCACTCAGCCATGTCTAGAGGGCGGGGTGTCACCCTTGGGTGCCAGCTCAGGACCACAGAGACGGAGAACCCTGGGGCAGGGATGCTGGGAGCACGGTCGCCTGCTCCAGGGAGGCCCA